GGACAGTCGGACTCGCCAAAATCTGGTCTCGTACTGAATCAAGATCATGAGGAAGTCCAGCGATTGTAAGAATTAGAAACATTTTCTGTCGCTGCTCTTGTTGTTTTGACACACTAGCAGAAACTGGCATCAATGTCTCAAATTCCTCCATGACTGCTTGTACCTGACCCAAGTAAGTAGACATATCTAATTCTTGCTTCTTTAAGTTTGTCATCCGTGATATCACATCATAGAAGCGAGATATATCATTAGTGTATAACGTACGAGCCTTTGCCCAAACCAAATAACATGTCTGGAATGGCCGAAACAAAGGCATCAACTTAGAATCAATAGAACGCCACAAGATGCTACATAATTGAGCATCAATTTTTGCCCAAAGCGCTATCGCCTTTTCATCTCCTTCGCTAGACTGTTTAATCAGATGATCTTGCACACCTTGACCTTTACACCACAACTCGACAGATGAAGCCCAAGCTAAGTAGTTTGAACCTCCCATTAAAGGTTCCGAGGTAATCATAACATTAGAGTTTCCAGAACTCATGCTTTTAGACCCAAAAACATCAATTCCCAAAGACATCTTGTAAATTATTACCAAATAAGAGAAATAATCAACTGTAATCCACTGAAAATAGAGTAAGGAACACTGAACCAGAATAGGAAACTACTGTAGCAGTTGGAAAGTTACTGTTGCAGCCGGAAAATATTCAAAGTGGTCGGAATGAAATAAAAACAGTAGGGGTAGGATCGGAATTACCAGAAGACCCAACTGTTCTGAAGGAACTTTTTCAAAAAATGGCCGGAAGTCAACTTTTTGAAATCACTATTCACGCCGGAAAAATAAAAAAGTGGTCGGAATTTGGTGTAACCTGGATGGGTAGGCTCGGAATTGCAAGGGAAACAATCTGTCCTGAAGAGTCGTCGCCAAAAAATGGCCGGAAGGTGGCCCACGCAACGTTGGAACTTCGCCGGAAAATTTTCTTTGGACAGCTACAGTACCGCCGGAGATTTTCACTGGGATTTGGTCGCCGGACAGTGACTACTCTTGTGGTAGTGTTGGATTTTGTGCACAACACTGACCGAGACAAAGCAGACGCAAAACAACTTTGAAAGTCGCCGGAAAAAAAAAAAAAAAAAAAATTGATTATCCATTAAAGTATTACTAAGCCATGCATACTTGAATAAGACGTAGCAATCCCTCAAAGTAAGTATATAATGCTTCACCATAAAAAGACAAAAAAGAATGAACGGCACGCTATAAAGCTATGCAACCATCTCTCGTACAACAAAAAAATTCACAGTATGGTTTTCCATAGAGTAAAAGAAAATGATTCAAAGTTATCCAGACATTAATACTATTATTCTTATACCCTAATTATTATTACTATTGTTGTTTATTTATTAATTTTTTTTTCCGACACGTAGATTACAATTAAGGATATGCAGGTTTGACATGGAGGAGCTATCTCTCTGGAGAACAAAAACGGAACGCAAGAGGGAGGATGGAGAACAAAATATATTAGACTACCTCATGGGGGAGGTTTGTGGAAGGCATAATGAAAGTGTTGGCGGACTTATATGGCAGCAACATCACTTATAGAGTGGGAAGTGGTGAAATAGTATGCTTTTGAAAATATAGATCGTGAGATAATAGGCAGTAGTTATTGACAATTGACATATGCTTAAAGGGGTGGATTGGATTTTCAATTACCTTAGATGGCAGTTACGCATCCCTTCTAACTCAGCATCATTTTTTACAGCTTTACGCAGAGATACAGGAGAACTCCTATACACTGCACATGGTCCTCCAGATTGACCATTGGAATCGAGGTTGGCAGTCTTCTTCCTCCTGCTTTTAGTTGCAGAATTCCAAGGATATTTGTAACAAGCTGATTCATATGCATTTACAATAGCAGCATTGACTGATGAAGTGTCCAACCAAAGGTTTGCGCCTTTTGCTGCCAAACTGAAAAGGGAAATTCTGGAGTCAAATTTTATCATGGAGAAACTCTCTCCAAAAGCACAGATCTTACTAATGCTTTGGTTGTTGAAGAGTTTCTTCTATTAGAAACAGGGACCAACATAATTGCAGCATGCAAAATATCTCCATTAGCATTTAAGTTTAGGATGCTGCTTGTAGAGTTGAAACTCAAATGCTGAGCTTAATATAAATGCAAGCTTCTCTGGGGCTGCAGTTCTCCCTGCAGTTGTTCTTGCCAGAGTGATACCAAACAAGACATAGAACTGTTGACGAGAAGACAAATTTTGCAATTCTAAAAAAGAAAAAAGAAAAAAAGAAAATCCTAATGCTTCAAAATCACCTTTCAATTTCAGAGAGAATGGATTCATATGCTCTCAATTCTATGCCAGCATTTGTCAAATGCTCCATAACTTCAGGTGTTACTTTAGTATCATCAACGAACAATTTTGCTCCATCTATCTCCACAACTAAGTATGCATACATGACTGGTGAATGTGGGACATCATTACCTCTCTGGAGACACAAGTAAATAACTAAACGAATAAGCAGCTTAAATAAGAAAACACACAACTGAAAGAAATTTAAGTCATCATTCAACTTTAAGCCAAAGCATGCTAAGACACTTGCTGTGCATCGTTGAAATCTTGTCATATGCCTTCCAATGTTATAAATATCCTTGAGGACTAGAAATTGAACCACTATTGGAAGTTGAACAATTAATATTCTTTGAAGACAGAAAATTATTAGCCATTAAAATTACAACGAATCCACTAACTAACTATTTATAGGGCCATCAAAATTAAATCTTCCACTAAAATTCATATTTCTATGCTAATCTCATCTTTTCAAAGAATTAATCAGTGTGCAGGCAAAAATCAAAAGATCTTGAATGTCGAAGTTGGGTGCACCAATCAAATTATCTTTTTTTTCTTTTGATGAAACAATCAAACTACATCTATGTCGTCACTTAAAATATTTTTACGTGCTAGCATATATAATACATAATCACCAGAATTTTTCTCATCCGGTGAATACTGCCAGAGATAATCTTGGAAAAAGCTTTTAACGTCAAGTTTTAGAAATACTAAATTTGGTAATCAGAATGAAGCTGGTTCCCTGAAATTTAACTGATAACCCAATTGTTAATCATAGAATATTGATTACTAGTCTTATAAACTTATCAAGAATAAAAAAGGAAAACTCTATATTAGAGCAAGTGTAAAATATTCAAGATATTGTTCATAGCCCGAGAGCATCATTTCATGGCCTACGAATCCTTTATTATACGCTTCATGGCCCAGGACATCATGGTCTAAGGACGTCATCCTAACCGCCCAAAGACAACCTTCATGGTCCGACGGGAATTTGCATCATGTTTAAATTACGCACCATATATGCTTGTATTGCTTATTTGCAGGAAATCCGGTGAGCAACGGCCGTCTCGGCAGGAGCGATCCCGCTCCGGTTCATTTGAAGAGGAACATAAGAGACACAACTAAAAGGATAATTATGCTGAAATGGAACTCATCCGAGCTCCATTTTCAACTGATTAAGATTATCAGATGTAAGAACTATTGATAGGCTTACTTTTTGTCCACAGTTAACCGAATTTACAACAATAGAAGGATAGTTTCTTCCTATACCTCAGACCAAAAATGTAACGACTCGGTCGGTGGTTTTGAGAGTTGTAGCCCCATTCTCCCCATTTACTGTTCATTTTACGCTTAATTGTTGTTATGGGACTTGCCGGGGTAGTTGGTTCGGTTACGGGGAGGTTTCAGAATGAGTTGAGACACTTAGTCTCAAGGTTAGAAGCTTAGGTTGAAAAGGTTGACCGTATGTTGACTTATGTGTAAACGACTCTGGAATGGAGTTTTGATGATCTTGTTAGCTCCGTTGGATGATTTTGGACTTAGGAGTGTATCTGGATAGTGATTTGGCGGCCCGTAGATGAATTAGGCTTGAAATGGCGAAAGTTGAAAATTTAGAAGTTTGATCGAGAGTTGACTTTGTGGTTACCAGGCTCAGAATTGGGGTTCCGGGAGTTGGAGTAGGTCCGTTGTGTCATTTTTCACTTTTGTGCAAAATTTGAGGTCAATCGGACGTGATTTGATAAGCTTCGGCATCGAATGTTGAAGTTAGAAGTTCAAAAGTTTATTAGGCTTAAATCGATGCGCGATTCGTGATTTTAACATTGTTTGGTGTGATTTGAAGGCTCGACTAAGTTCGTATCGTGTTTTAGCACTTGTTGGTATGTTTGGTTGAGGACCCGGAAGACTCGGGTGGATTTCAGATGGCTAATTGGTCAAATTTTGGACTTGGAGATTGGTTGAAGTTTTCTGGTGTCACTGATCTGGTTTCCTTATACGCGATCGCGTAGACTTAATTGGGCAGTGGAGGTCCTTGTTCTACACGTTCGCGAGATGAGGATTGCAATCGCGTAGTTGTGGGATGCAATGAATCGCGAACGCGTGGCTAAGGTCGCGTTCTCGTAGAGTATAGGAGGCAGCAGCTGGGGTCACGCGTTTGTTCTCAGCGATCGCGTGAAAAAGGCCGTGATCGCGTAGGTTGAGGAATTAGTTTTTCGCTTTCGCATGGTGTTTGACGCATTCGCGTAGGGTTAAATTTCTAGGCAGCATAGTTGTGTTTCGCGATCGCGAAGCATTTTCCGTGATCGCGATGAAGGCATCTGGGCAGAACTTAAATATTTCAAAACGAGGGTTTGTGTCTATTTCACAAATTTGATTTTGGGAACTCGGTTGGAGGCGATTCTTGGAGAGATTTTCAAGGGAGTGATTGGGGTAAGTGATTCTTAATTAGTTTTGGTTAAATTCCATGTTTATATCTTTGGTTTTATTATTTAATTAGTGATTTGGGTTGAAAAATTGGAAAAAAATGGAGGAAAGTCCTTAGGCCGAATTTTAGGGATTTGATAGAGATTTTGGTATCGAATTTGAGTAATTTTGGTATGGGTGGACTCGTGGTTGAATGGATGTTCGGATTTTGTGACTTTTATCGAATTCCGAGACGTGGGCCCGAGAGTTGACTTTTGAGTTAGACTTTTTGACTTTTAATTAAGAACTTAGCATTTTCATATGGAATTGATTCCTATAGCTTGAGTTGATTATATCGAATTGTTTGTGGCTAGATTCGAGGCAGTCAGAGGCCGTTTCGCGAGGCAAGGGCTTGTTGGTTTAGAGTTTTGCACAACTTGAGGTAAGTAACACTTCTAAACTTGGTTCTGAGGGTATGAGACCCCGAATTTCGTGTTATGTGATTGGTGTTGAGGTGACGCACATGCTAGGTGACGGGCGTGTGGGCGTGCACCATAAGAACTGTGACTTGGTTGATTCCATGGAACTTTATAGTTGATCAATCTTGTTGTTAATTGTGTTTTCACCACGTGTTAGAGAAATTGAGTTGCCGGTCATGTTAGAAATCCTACCTAGGCTACATGTTGGTACTGTTAGGACCCACAGAGGTCATGTTACATGTTGAATTAATTGCTTAAGTTGAAAAGTTTTTACTCAGTCACAGCTATTATTTGCATATTATATCTCAGTCTCTGTTATCCTTTGTTGATACATTATATCATCATTGTTTGGGCTGATTATCATGATTCTTGTGAGCCCAAGAGACTGGAGAGATTGATGACTGAGTGAGGCCGAAAGCCCGATTGTGAGGATATTTATGGGATCGGGCTGCATGTCGCAACATGTTTATGTGATCCATGCCATGATTGGCTTATTATAGCGCTTGGGCTGGAATTGCCTCTCAGGAGTTTGCACATCCACAGTAAGCGCAAGTACCTACTGAGTGTGAGTGCGAGTGCCGAGCGATTGCGAGGATGGAGTGATTGTGAGGATGGAGTGACTGTGAGGATGGAGTGAATGGAAGGACTGAGTGACTGATACTCTGAGAGTATGCATATGATTTCATTACTGTTTTGTACTTCAGTTGGCTTATATAACTGTCACGTAGATACTGAGATGTACCATATCTTGTTTCAATTGAATTTAACGTGATTTACCTGTTTGGGCTTTAACCGTTAAACTTGAAAGCATGCCTACATTTCTGTATTGTAATTCCGTAATTGAACTGTATCTGCAAAGCTCGTCGCTACTTTCAGTCCAATAGTTAGACTTGTTACTCGCTGAGTTGGTTGTACTCACGCTACACCCTGCACCTCGTGTGCAGATCCAGGTGTTTCCAATCACGGCAGTTGCTGATTCACAGAGTTCAGACATTCGGAGATCATCGAAGTAGCTGCTTTGGCGTCCGCAAACCTTGACTTTCCTCCCCTATCTTTCAATTTATTTATTCAGTTCTACTTTCTAGACAGTGTACTGCTATGTCTTTATGTAGATGCTCATATACTCAGTGACACCCCGGTTTTGGAAAAACTTATGTATTGAGTTATGATATTCTATTCCGTTTTATGAGATTTTTAGTTATTTTAACTATTTTAGTATATCTCAAAGTGAAAGTGTTGGAAATGTCTGAGTAGTCGTCTTGCCTAGTACCATGTTAGGCGCAATCACGATAGGTTAAGTTTTGGGTCGTGACAAAAAAATCTCACATAAGCAGGAATCTAATTTAAAAATGATCTATTTGTGCACATTTGACCAAGTAAAAAAGATTTTAAAGAACAAGTAAAGAGGATTACCAAGTTCAATAGCCATGCAATTTCGTCAAGCATGGAGATAACAATTGCCGATGCACCAGCATGTCTTAACTCAGATCTCAATGACAAAAGCTTAGACGACACATCTACACCAGCATATTTCGGGCCATGCAACCTAATTGGTTCCTTTGGAGGTGTTGGCCTCGACTCCTTCCATATTTCATCTACAAGGTTGAAATCATACAGCAAGACCAACTCATGGTTTCCTTTAGAAATGTCCTCTTTGAATTCTTTTGCAGCATCAGATGAAAAAAGAAACTGCTCCCTTCACCAAAACAAAGAGAACTGATATAAGAGGAGAGAAAATGCAAGGTTACTTATGATGCAGTCAACTCAAATAGAAAAACGCTTGCAAGATTGACAAATTTGAAGTTTTGAACTAGAAGAGATGAACTAGTATTAGAAGGCACCAAGTCAAAAATAAATAAGTCATGTTTTGGACTAACCCAACACCGGAACATAGAACGGGCAGTCCGATGAATGGTAGAAGGGGGAGAGGGGGGAGTCATGCCCCTTCTCCAGGCATGAGCAGAAATATGAAAATATGTGAACTCGTTGACAAATTGAGGAATACGTCTGACTTCTCCCTATAAGTATACATGTTTTCATTCCAATACTAGATTTTACTGGAACTTAAAAGTTAAAACAATGCACAAATCAGAAAGCATATTTGAGCATTACTTACGGGATCTATTCCAATCCTGCAACCAGGTGCTAGGACAGTATTAAGCCACTCACTAGGAGTAGGCACCCCCAAGTTACCAGCTCTCATGAGAACCCAACTCGAGTTCAACTGCTTCTCAGCCTGTTTACAAACACCAAAGAGAAAAAGAAATCAATTAGAAGACAGTAGGTACCGACAAAGGGTACCAACCAAACTGTTCAGTTTACTTCCTTGAAAACTGATCACTAAAACTAGAGCTGCCATGCACATAATACAAACCTGTAAGAAGTATCGTCCATCTGTCCACAAGGCTGCTTTATCCTTGGTTACAACCGCAGTGCCTGCACTTCCAGTAAATCTTGATATATAGGCTCTTCGCATATAACATTCAGCAATGAACTCACTCTACAAATAAGAGCAATTCAAATTTAGTAAAACTCATAAAATAAGGTAATACATAGTTCATTTAATTTGTTGCTTGCCTTCCCAGCCACTAGATAGTCCCAGAAATTACTTACTACCTTCCCCAAAAAATAGGATTAACAAACCAGGAGATTCATTATCTACATGTTGTCATGAATCAAGTCAATGCAATAAAAAGACATCACTAAAAGTTTGTTTAACTCACGAAACTCATATGCATCAGATGACCACTTAAAAATGTCAAGAAGGTGTTGCCTAATTAAATAGCAAATCTTGATCTAAACAGAAAGCGGAAATTCTTTAGAAACACAAATCTTTGAGTAACAGCTACCAAAATGAACAGATATTGCAAATCAATAGGCTTTTTTTTTAATCAGGTATATAGCAAATCAGCAGGCTCTAGAACCAATATAGCAACATTATTTTAAACTGAATTACCAAAACTCACTCATAGGAATAACATTAATACTTCTAAAAGTCATTAGGTTTTTCAAAACTACGCTACACAAAAGCTAAAGCCAAGAGCCTACAATTAACACAACGATTGAAACAAGCATAACTTTATCGCAAACCACGGTTACTAAAAAAATAAAAATCGAGGGACTGTGAATTCAAGAAAAGCAATAAAATACAACCTGATGGGCATCTTGAGAAGGAATAATATAAGCGTCAACGTTAACACCAGGCTTAGTAAAGAGCTCACGAAGAGCACGAAGCTTGTTATCCTCCTCTTTACGGTCTCTACCACCTTTTTTCTGAAATTCCGAGGACGGCTTAGCGGTGATGGAACTGGAACTGGAGCTTCGGACAATTAGAAGATTGAGATGATTTGGAGATTTTGAGGAAAATTTGGGGCAAGTTTTGAATTTGTGGAAGATGGGGAGGGAGAGGGAGAGGACGCGGAAACGTCGAGGTGGGTGGTGGTGGAGTTTGGAAGAGGAATTGAGGATGGTGGTGGTGGAAGCTGAAAATGAAGCTGCCAATGACTCCATTGATTTAGAGAGAGAGAGAGAGAGAGAGATAAGATTGGAGTTTTGGTGTCGACTTAACTTGAAGGAAAATTTAAAGGAGGGTAATAATAAGGCTAAATACAACCAGCTGAACAACTCAGTGACATATCACATGGACCAATCAAAAAATAACACGTGTAATTTTGCCATAAAAATTTGACACATATAATTAACAAAAAATATAACTTCTTTATCATCTCCTCTCTCATTTTACATAGCAGCCGCCGGCTCCTCCATTTCTGACGCATCGCCACCAATCGCCGCCTTTGAAGCTACAAATTCTTTTCGGAAAATGGCAGGTCATTGGTGTCCGAATATGAAGATAAAGAAGAGCAGAAGAAGAAACTCCATTTTTTTGACGAGAGAGTAAGAAGAATCAGATGGGTTAAAAATTTCCGGCAGCCTTCATTTTTTCCGTCGAAATTGATTGTTGTGTCTGATAATTGAATGGATATTTTTTCCGTCGAATTGTTTTTTGTTCACCTACTTCTTTATTCTTCAATTATCTCATCTAACCTCTCTCTTTTCTTTTTGTCGTTTTTTATTTTTGTGGTTGAAGAGGTTTAGGGTATGGATAACTAGATAAGGGGGAAAAAGACACAACAAGAATCGAACATTATACTTGTACAATAAACAACATTGTCATTTTAGTATTCAGAGGGATAGTGTAAAATTTTATTTGTTTGGAAGTTTATGTTCCGCATTTCAGATTGGTTGTAATGGAGAAATTTAGGGTTGCGGAGGGTGGAATGGTGGAGGAGAGAATTGGAGGAGATGGGGTGTGAAAATTAGGTGGGTCCACATTATTTTAGTAAAAAAAAAACTAATTTTAGGTTGGCAGCTCAGGTGGATTTCACCGATGAGGCTGACATGGTGGGGTGTTTAATTGATTTTTTGTTGTGAATAAATAAAGTGTCTAATTCAAAATAGGCTCAGAATGGTTGTTGAGTACAACTTGAAAGGGCCTTTAATTGTCAAAAATGGCTTCATGACGGAAAATTTTATTTGGTCGAAATATTTTGTCTGACAAGTACTTCGGCCCAACAATTATTTCTTTTGAAAAATGCTTTTATTCAAAAGTGCTTTATGAAAAAGTACTTTTGCAAAATAAGTAATTTGTGTTTGGCCGATTTATTTGAGTAGTGTTTTTTGCAAGCTCATCGTGTTTGACTAATCTTTTAAAAAAGCACTTTTAAGTATAAAATTACAAAAAAGGACAATAAATGTTCAATTTGCGATTAGTATTATTTAGAAAAGAAAAATAAATTTAAACATTTATTAGAAAAGAATTCAACTAAAATAAAAAACGTAAAGTAAAATATAAATTTAAAATTCTTATTAATATAAAAATATAGGTATTCCAAAGCAATAATATTGAGTGTTTGGCATTACTTATTATTTACATGATAATTTAAATATGTCAAAATACATCATTCAATATAAATTTAAAATCTACTCTTAAGAATAGGAGAAAGAGAATAAAAATTTAAATAAAATAAAAAAGAGAATAAATGTACAGCAAAAGGAAATGAAAAAGAAAAATTAAATTAATAAGGGATAATTTGAAATATATACATTTATTTTAAGGTTATTTTTGTCTTGAATAAATTAACTCTGCTTTTTGGAAGGAGCTAGAATTTGTAGCTTCTCTCCATAAGCAGAAAAACTGCTTCTGCTGCTGCTAAGAAATATTTTTTTCATTTTGGCCAAACACCTTAAATTTTTCTAAAAGTACTTTTTTAGTCAAAAAAGTACTTTTGGCCTTTAGAAGCTTGACCAAACAGACTCTAACCAAATCAAGATTGGATTAATAGGATTATACTATTTAAATAAAGATTTGATTTTAATTTTTTTAATGAAAATTACTATTTCTTTATTTAATTAAAATATAAAAGATAAAATATATATTAAAAATCTTAATTAATATGTAAATATTAAATCAAAGCAATATTGTTAGATATCTGGTATATTTATTTTTTTAGACGATGATTTAGGTATACATTATAATATTAAAATATAATATAATATTAAAAATTCACTCCAAGAGCTTGAGGAGAGATGGTAGAAACGAAAAAGTAATAGAAGAAGAGAGCTGCATTTAGTAAAAAATAAAATAAAATTGTACCCCATATTTATATTAAATTAAGTAATATTATCTTAGCTGTTAAAACTTAAACTGAGAATATATATCATTTTACTATAATTAAGTAACAGATGCATGCATATGATACATATTTCTTGCATTAGATTGGATGTGAGGCCATATGGTTAAATTAATGAGGCATAGTTTACTAAAAATATAATTTTCTATAATGATATTTTATCTTGAAAAAAATAATTTTTTGTATTCACTTATTAAAAGAAGTAGAAATTTATAATTATCAAAATAGAAAAACTGCTTCATTATTATTCAAAAACACATACTCCTATTTTTCTCGTCAAACACCTCAAATTGTCAAATGGAAGTGAAAAGTATCAAATATATATATATTTTAATATTTCTTCTAATTTAGGAGGATGTATAGTGTTTTTATACTTATTCTTTAGGATTCGAACTCATAACCCAACGATTGTGGGCGGAGGTGTTTTACTAAGTAAGTGAAAGTATTTATTATCCTTTTTTTTTTCTTCTGAAATTACAAGCCAAACTGCAATGATGATACCCAATTTCTCTTTTAAAGCTTGTACATCCATTATTCTTCACCTGATTTGCACCTTTGAAAAACACAAAAGCTACTTTACACAGATCACCCCCCCCCCCCCTCCCCTTTTACTTTTTGTCAAACCTGTTGTTTCTTCTCCATTGCAAATCTCGGATTCCACTCCTTCATGCTACTACCTCTCAGCTCTACTCATCAACAATGGCGATCATAACCGAAGAACCAGACTCACCTACTCCACAGAAGAACCAAAAACCCCTTAAAAAACCCAATTCAAAACCTCCACAATCCACCTCCCCAAATCCCACCAAACCCACAAAAACAACAAATGCAACAACAAACCCACTTCATTTCTGGTTCTATTTCACCATTTCAGTCTCTCTTATAACCCTCATATTCATGACCCTCATTTCTCTTTACCCACAAGACCTTAAAACATGGTTCCTTAGCTTGCCTCCTAACCTACGCCAACACTACTCTAAAGGGCAAAATATCAAAGTTCAAATCACCCCTAACCAGCCACAAGTTGAAGTCTTTACTATCCAAGAAGGACCCTCAAAGTCTTTTGATCATGTACTTATTGTACATGGTCTAGGGTGTAGTTCTTTTGGGTTTCAAAAAGTTGTTAACTTTTTGGGGGTTAGAGGTGTTCATGCTGTTGCTATTGATCTCCCTGGTTCTGGGTTTTCGGATAAGACGATAGTTGTGGAGGAAGAGAGTGTGGGTGATGGTGGGGTTTTAGAGAGGTTTAGGGATATGTATAGTGAAATTCAAGAAAAGGGTATCTTTTGGGGGTTTGATCAGCTCGTTGAGCAGGGATATGTGAACTATGAGGAAAATAATAAGATCAGGGTTTCGAAAAGAAATGTCGTTAAGGCCATTGATTTGGGACCTGAAGAGATGGGAAAAGTGTTAGGTCAAGTGATTGATTCAATGGGATTGTCACCTGTGGATTTGATTTTGCATGATTCTGCATTGGGTTTGAGTGCTAATTGGGTTTCGGAGAACCGGGGATTGCTTAGAAGTGTGGTTGTTCTAGATAGTGCGACGAGTGGAACAGCATTGCCATTGTGGGTGTTGGAAATGCCAGTTGTGAGGGATGTTGTTTTGGGATTTGGATTTGCTTTTAGGAGATTACTTGGAACGTGCTGTTCGAAGTCGGTTGGTGACTTGGAGGCTGAGGGTCATAGGATTCTTTTGAAGGGAAGGGATGGAAGAAGAGCTGTTGTTGGGATGGGGAAGAGCCTAAACTGTAGCTTTGCTTTGAATGAATGGGCTGCTTTAGATGGTGTGAAAGGTCTACCAATGCAAGTAATTTGGTCTGATGCCCTGTCCAAAGAGTGGACCGAGGAGGGACGTCAAGTTGCTGATGCAATCCCACAGGCGAAATTTGTCACTCATTCTGGTGGGAGGTGGCCCCAGGTGAGGATAAAGAACATGAGTATTCATTTTTGTTTTGTCTGAAAATGTTAATTCCTATAAATTTAAATGAGTTTAGGGCGAGTATCAAAGAGATGTGTGTTTCGATCTGCTTGACGTATAGAGTGGAATTGTAAAGGTCATAGTTTTTGGTGAAGATGCCCGAATGAGGCTCCCTCAGATGTGGAAGTGTAGGCATGTGTGATAGTTTATTCTTATTTATATGCTAACATGATTAGTCTTTCTCTTGAAAATTCTGCTGAGAAAGCATATAGCAGTCAAATAACAATGCCAAACAATTTAAGGCTGGTTGAAGATCAGTTACTTTAATTTTTCTTGACACAAAATCTAGAAGAAGATTCTCCTAATATTTTCACTTGAAATATGTGTCTTGAGGCCAAATAGCTCAAGCAGATATAGAAAGCACTAAAAAGTATCTTTTGTTTCACTTTTATCTTTAGAGTAAGGATTAAAATACCATGTTGTGATGAAAGAAGCGGGACAAACTTGATAGACGATTGTGGATGACTCGGATTGAGTCATACATGCAACCATGGATACTTTTTTTACACCTACTTGATGCTTGTTTATGAAATTATTAAATTATGAGAAAGAAAAAAGAATACCCAAATTGCTAGCTGGATGGTCCTGTGCTGCATTTCCCCTCGTCGAATAGCATAATAAGTTAAACACAGGGGCTTATGACTTCTAGCTGAATGCTCCTTAATTCTGGAGAAGTGTTTGGCAATAGCATCCTTAGTTAATATCATGATTCTATTCATGTGCTAATTACCAAATCTGTTCTTCATCCATTTATTTGCAGAATTGTTCATCACTAGCGAAGTTAGTCTTTTTACTTTTTGAAGATAACAATTTATTGATTTGATGGGAACCCCACATACAAGTTATAAATGAGTAAGTACTTATAAAAACATAAATAAATGAATGGAATAAGTGAAGTTATTGTTTGACCATATCATCGTGTATGGCGATGTTACTCGTGCTGTAATGATCAAATCTTTTCTTCATTCACTCATTTGCTTAATATGTAGTAAGTGAAATTAGTATACTTAATAAATAAATAAATGAAATAAGTGAAATTATTATTACTCAAGCCGAGAGGGGTATTACCACATCTTGCACCTGATAGCTTTAAAAATGAGTTCCTTAGTCCGTTAAGCTTCTCTTAGTGACTGCACTATTGATATTTAAAGTGACATTTCTATTTTTTTTTAATTAATGGCTGCCGATGTGGAGACTACATCATCCAGTCCCGCTGATATGGGGGGTGGGAATTGGCTGTGATGTTACACTCTCTCCCTTATCCCTCTTTCTCCCCCATCCACCTCATTACCACAACCACCTACGCCATTGCCACCTTAAATGTGTTTTTTGCATAACCTTATGTTTGGTGATAAGGTTATTACGTATGTGTTTATTTTGTTTAATTACGCCTGGTATCATCAATAATATCCATACAGGACCGTAATCATCACAATTTGGTACATCTTTCTGCTTACTTATTCATTTTCTATCTGGAATTCATCTTAAGGCAACTTCTTCTTAATAATCCTCAAATCATGCCCTTAACTAGAGCCTCATGAAGCTTTTTGTCACTTTATGAGCTCCATTTCATAATTTGGCCTGATTGGCTGCTTTCTCGCGGATAAATTCCAGTCACACTTGTTTAGTGCTTTCCAGTTGTAATCTACAGTGGACATA